ACATTTCTGATTTTTCAAATTATATCAAATGCATGAATGTTTATTAAATGTTCACCTGTCCTAAACTGTGTAGTTTAGAGAAACACATTCTCATAAAAATATTCGACACTCTGAGACGTCAGGGGAGAAAATTATCAAAGGAAATGTGTAAAAAACAACATTTTTCCAACCAAAGAATCGTATGGGTAGACTAACAACGAAAAAAAATCGAGCACTGCTCGAAGATCTTTTAACGTTATTAGAAAAATAAATGTCTTTGAAATCGAATGCACGCGAAATCAAACATAAAATCCTTTGTGTTCTCCTAAAATTTATTTTTGAAAACCTGCATCGAACCTACATCATGGTCTTCGCTCAAAATCAGTTAATAGTGACAAAGTACATCAAAAGTGTACCACGGCATATTTTGTCACCTGTCACGTGACTGTACCTTGTCGATGGTTAGGCGTGATGACTGGAAACACACGTTACCATGACAAACATTATTGAAGTTCTCAAAAGACAAATTGAAACAGGAGGAAACATTCAGGCTGAAGATTGGTTGCTGTTTTCGTCAGACGTAAAACATTGATAATTATGACAATTCAAAATATTTGGAAAATGCAGAGACATATACTATAAGAACGCTATTGGTGCACACTCCCGTTTCACAGGAAACAATGAAATGTGACGTTATCAAAAATATTCTCGCAATTTGACGAACATTCGACGACATCATTATTCCTTCGAAATTCACTTAAGCATGTACATAAAATTATGAAAATGACACATTCCATTTTTATTACCTACATTCTATCTAAGGAATGAATCGATGAAAAGGTATTTCAAAACAAACCAAGCAACTACACTTAAAACATCGATTTAAAATTGAATAAACATGGAAACCAAGCTTAAGACAAATATTCTGAACTATAAAATTGAAAACTTTGTAGGCTTACTAATCTTCCATTTTTGATGAATTTATATGCAAATCCTACAAGATATAATCATTAATAATATCAATAGATAATCATTATATCAAAATGACATGTGCGTCTTTATTTCAAATGAGAATTCATCATGATTGAAAGTTATGATTTGTAGAGAATTTGTTCTGTTAACTTTTGATGCGGGACTCATCAATCGCGCGCTTTTTACGTTTTCTCGCGTATTATAACCTATAGCGCGGAAATGTCTCTATTCTTTAAGACCCAAAGAATACGGTATATGTTCATGAAGAAGTATGGTTTACCCTATCATTTGGTACCACTGTAATGTATTGAACGTGCGCAGGCAAATAAAAAAGCTATCAAATTATTTCAATAAAATCTGTCCTCGCTAATTCCGATGAAAGGGGACACCAAGTCCCCATTTTGTGTGTAAAATGACGTCAAAACGGCCTATGCACATTTAGTTCAGACTCTGGTATCATTCATTTTAAAAGGTGAAAAACTAAAATAGAATCTCTAATATTTTAATACATTATAATCACCTGATGCGCAGCTGAGAAAAATATTTTTTAGGACTCAAAATATTAAAATACTCAAACTCGCATAGATTGAAAATGCCCAATTGATTTTAACGGGGAGTTTTATCGCGGAGGCTTCACTTGGACATTTTTCAATATTTTATAGAATTTACGAGGTTTATATGGCCACCAGGTCATCAAATATACTTTTTTGTAGAACAAACATCTTCTTCATTGTTGACCATAAGAATTTGAGATGATTCATTGCAATTTAAAAGACTTAAATAGCTTAGAACATATCTACCGTGGTAAAAAATAACGTAATTTTGACGAGGCTTCACTCCTAATATTCGTACAAAATCCATCTTGGCTGATACGTTTACATCTGAATCACTGATAAGTATAGTTTCAGTATGTTCGTGAAACTTTTCCAGATCTAACAATATAACAACTGTATGACAAACTGCTATATAACTCACAAAATCTACATTTAAGTACCATACGCAGGCTGAATAAGTCAGAGTTGAACACGAGTCACTCACAATTACGATTGCGACAATAGCTATTGTGACGTCATACGCTGTTCGTTATTTGTAAATATTTATGCATAGAATGGATGATCCATGAAATAGGGTATTATCCATAAAATATCATAAACATTGATGGAACAGTTAAAAAGATATATACTTTTACATACTACATGGCCATTTCGTTTCGTTCCTTCTTGAAACGTTGAACACGCCTTTTAGGGTGTTTTTATTCAATTAGGAGCTATTTCGAAGGGCTGTGAATTGAATAACCATAGAGGATATTTCATAAAATTCAGTTCGAATAATTGCCTTATATAATAGCAAGAAGGATATATAAAAATTATTATAAATTATGTCGAAATACATGTTAAACCAAGACCGAGATCTTTATAGACGTCTTAATTAGACTCCAGATTGAAAATCTGGAGTCTATTGTTTTTGCCTGTTTTCTTATTATTCTTTCTTTCTTTCTTCCTCCTAACAGATTTTCTCTCCAACTATAACATCTTACTTAATCCAACCTACATGGTTGACTAGGGAATGTATCTGGCTTTCTGGGAAATTAGGTCAAATTTTTATCTAGGTCAAAGGTCAAGAACTAGGTCAAATCTTGGATTTTCACTAATTCACCACTTTTCTCAGTCGTCTTTCAATATTTTCGCTCTGGTTTTTTTTCATCATGTTCCTTGGAAAAAAACGCTAATTCCAAAAGGCAAATCGTTTTTTGATTACTCTTACCGATTTTGAGATATTGCGTCCGAAAAGTAGGTCAGAACAAAAAGTTCTCCAAATTCAACATGTGAGTAATGAAATGAGTGTAGAATGATCTCAGGAATCCGAATCTGCAAACCAAATTTGGATCAGACTTCTGGTTCGGAAGTTATGGCGTTTTGAAAGCTCAAAAATCGCTAAATTTGGTGCCCCATGTATTATGTCAATGAGAAAAAAGATTTTTTTGAAGTGTAAAATACAGGATATAAACTGAGTACAGCTTAACATTCTGAAAGCCTATAAAAGAAGGGAACCTCGAAGGCTATCTAGCTTTAAAATTTGGACACCAAAATGCCTAGGTCAAAATCTAGGTCAAATTCATAGTTTTTCCTTATTTTTGCGATTTTGACATTACACTTTAATGATTTGCTTCGAAATTGTGTATACAGGTAGCAAAGAGTGTGCTTATAGTGTTAACCTTTTGCCGTCAGAAAGTATTTTGACCCACTTTTGAGATATGGTGTCTGAAAAGTAGGTCAAAATAAAAAGTTTTCCAAATTTAACGTATGAGTTATGAATTAAGGGTAGAATTTTCTCAGGAATCAGAATCTTTAAACCAAATTTTGATCCAACTTCTGATTAGATAGTTATAGCGGTTTATAATCTCGAAAAGTCGATATGATGACATCCCCATGTTAAGCCAATGGAGTCGAAGATAACATTTTTAAGAGTTGTCTAAATGTCTATATTCTAGCTGACTCAGCTTATTCTGAATGACTCAGCTTACAAGTATTTGGATGACTCAGCTTAAAAAAAGTCTGAAATCTGGAGTCTTAAATTGAACTTGTTCAATTTACATGTCTAGTTATATTGGCGATTTCAAATGTGTACCAATAGCGTACTTATAGTAATAACAAAATTGACAAGCAAGTCAAGATTAATAAATGGAAACAAAACGTGTCAACACTTCTTTCTAGTTAGTATGAAAAACATCATACTACATCAAGAGCAGTACTGTTCAATATCACTGTAAGTGTTTGTAGGCACCGCGAATAAAAAACGTTTAGTTTAGAATATTTGATAATGTATGGCTTTGTATTCAGATAATGATTGAAGAAACGATAATCTGTAGTTGTGTTTCGGGCTGAAGATCGCACGGAGTGTGATCTGGAACATAGGTACATGTATGCCATTTCTCAGTTTAAGGCTCCACATCTGTTAATGTGCATTTATGAAACATATCATTTTGGTAAGAACACATCCACCCTATTGAAACGTGATTTCCAAATATTCTCAACTAAATATTTTTTCATTTTCAGGAGTGACACTCAACAGAATGAATGCACACCTGTGTCATGTAAAATTAGCCTATAATATAGGTAATTTTAAAGTCAAAATTAGTCAACATTCTGTTTGATACTATTATTCGGAGGATGTTATGACTTGTGTCCGTTTACAGAAATGGGCAAGTTCTTGTATACACTCGTACTAGGCCCCTTTCATAAGGGAATACAACAAAGCACTGTATAGGTGAGAGAGAATTTGACCACACACCCCATTCTCAACACTTCATATATACAACCGGCAGTTTGCGACGTGAATTTGGAGTCAAGTTTGTAGGTACTCATTTTTTAGACGTTTTGACAGAAAATGAGCCTTTATTCCTCATAGAGACATCGACCATATGCCTATAGTATCACAACGTACCTATCACAATACCTGAATTGCAGTATCACTGGTGATCCACTCGATTACGCTGGTTACCGAAACGGTTCGTGCTCTATTGAACATACAGTTCGCCAGCAAGGAATCCCCCCCCCAAAAGAAATTGGCCATCTCATCTTGCCATGTGATGATGTCTGAGCACTTTTAAAGTATCTGAGAAATGGAACAGAATAAATTGAGAATTTTCTTTCAACTTTTCTTTTTTTGTGGTGTGTGGTGGTTGGGTAGAAATGTCAAAAAGAGTAAAAAATCGCCCCCAACGCACCCCACCCCCATCTGACGGCCCTACATCACCCGTGTCATATAAGTAGGATACGATTTCAGTCGCGGATACCAAAATTATCTAATGTTGTTATCACCATAGATCTAGTATTCATGGATAAATGTCTCCGGCCCGTTATGAAGGCTATGAGTATTTTGATTTGAGGACTCAAGTATTCAAATCCTTGCTCAACTTTTCTGATATGAAGTAAATCAAACGCAGATTCAGAATACTTAAGTCAACAAGTCGAAAGTTTATAAAAACTACTCATCATAAGGTGATTTTCATCACAGAAACAATACCAATACATCAACAAGACAGGCAATTCACAGATTAAACATTTTATTTAATCTTTTTCGTACAGTGTAGCGGAAAGGCGATCTGATGCTATTTCTTCTGGTTTGATGGAAATGTTATTATAGGAAATGTTATAGGAGCAATCGTTGTTGTTTCTGTTGGCATTGTACCCATTGTTGTTTGTACTTCACAGTAGCACTTGACCTTTCCGCTGCAGTTCGGATCTTCTGGACACAGGCATTTTGTACCTTCCTCACATACACCGTTTGCTTTGAAGTCACCATTCTTTTTTATTATTCCACATTTCTCACCCTCGCTCTTCTCTTTGCTGCTGCTACTAGCGCTTGACTATTGAAAGAAATACAATATATATGTTGTTTTCATTAACGGTATGTTTATGTTTGGACACTAAGAATGTACATAAATCATCCCTAGTGAATTACCAGGTGTTGTTTTAATGGCATGAATAATAGAAAATGAACCTAAAATAAAGTTTCCATATTGCTTATTAAAAATAGCTCACCGAAATTACGGCGGTCGCCAACGTTACCAAAACAAACGCTTGGATTAAACACGTATTCATCCTCATTGCACTAAGTTTACTCATTCAAATCCTAAGCTAGATGCTGTAATAAAAGGCATATGAATGAGGCCCATTAAATATAAGTTCTCGAAGGCCAGAAGTCCCAAAGGCCTAAAAAAGAAATTTGCCCTCTTCACTAAACTGCTACCCCTTTATCATGCACTTGTACTTGTATAAGTATAATTGTGTAAGAAAGTGAATGAATAAAATAAATTCTTTACAAGTGGCATGGTATTTACAAAAGAGTCGTATCGATATGGAGAACTTTTTGAACACACGTTTCTCTTAAACCAGTCATAAAAAAACTAAAACTTTGACACATCGTCAATTTAATGGTCATCTATTAAACGGTAACAATATAATTTGAAAAATATATATATATACTTTCATCTATATTGTTATAGAAAACACATCAAACACTTGTTTTGTTCTTGGTATCATGTTTCCAGAGTGAAATGAAACATCTTTCCGAACCTCATTGGAACAAAACGACATAAACACAACATGTTTAGGTCTCTCAATATTGTAATTGTACAAAGGAAATTTTGGTTGATTTTAAAGAAGTTTCTTGTTAATGAAATAAAAAGTTTATCTTGATATTTACCTATTTTGGAGGGATTTTGTTTTAATTTTTGAATTCTTTTTTAAAATCAACCAAAAATTCCTTTGAATAACTATAATATTGAGAGGTCTAAAAACATGTTGTATATGCTATTTTGTTCCAACAAGGTTCGGAAAGACATTTTATTTCATTCTCAAGAATTGGTAGAAAGGAGCAAAAACAATTACACTAAAAGAACAAAAAATGTTAATATTTCTAAATAATTCTCGCATTAAATTGTTGTCAATCAGTCAACATAAAATACCGTGTTTTTACAGAATGTTTTCAATGATTGGTTTAAGAGAAAAACATTGTTGAATTCAGTTCTCCATATCGATACCAATCCTTTATATACAATATTTTTCTCTAAATTCAATCTTGAAAAATACTTGTGGATCCAAGTCGAAAGTCTTGATATAATGAAATATTTTTTCTCTGAAGAAATAAATAAAGTTATCTCCATAAACAGAGTTAAATAGAATTTTAATATAAACCACAGAGATGAACTTACATAGAACAGTGCATACAGTTTTTTGTTTTTGTTCAATTAAGCAAGTCCACATTGTGTTATCAACCACTTTAGGTTCAAACATATTTGAAATGAAATAAAAAAGAAAAATTACAATTGTTACATTTTTGAGTAACTTAAGTGAATGACCTACCTCTGTCTTGATTCAGATTTCTTCCCAAATGGTTGAGTTTTGCTGAATGTTTACAGTTATTTAAACAATTGTTCTGTTTATTCAAATGATTTTTCGGTCACAGCTTTGTGGATTAACTTAGTTGAAATCAATAGGGCCTACGTGGCCGGGGAATTTTCAAATTTTGAACAACTCACGAGGCTTCAGCTAAAAATTGTTTACTGAATATGTAACGGACAGTGGTGTTCGTGACTGAAATAATCGTCAACGAAGAAGATCATTTTCAAGACATTGGCATATCTGGGAAATCTCCTCCTCTCGGAGGAATATACCAATCACGTGATTGTGATAAGCAAAGATGTACGAGTGACACAATAAAAATGACACCCATCCACACAATGTTTCATAACTTTTTGTCTGAAAAATTCTGACTTGCTTGTTTTTTCGCACATTTAAACTACACTCCATACATTTTGCAACTCCACAAGAAGTTTCAGATGACTTGCCGATCACCTAGATGCACATTTATGAGCGTTATAAAATGTGTCATCTATTCCTTTGCTGGCACAGGATCTTACACAAAAAACGACACTCATCTTTTGTAACACAATTTTGGAAATAAGTTATCATGATTTAATAAACGGCAACTACATTAATTTGTGTTTAATTGAATGGACTCCATTTCCCAGAAAGTACAAGCCAGAATCATTAAGCTAGTGTTTACAAAGTTATGCTACAAAAGCTGGGAGGCATTTTTTGTGTAGAATCCATCTGTGTCTGCAAAGGAATAGACGACATTTAGAGCAAATGTTGTAACGCTCATAGAATTTGACTCAATTGAGCCACACACGTGCTTTCGCATTATGTATGGTTGGCTTACCCGCCCAGAGAATGCACGCGTTGTTTACGGGTGTGTAGGCGTTAATAACGCTCGTGCAGATGTAAAATTACGCCCGTACAGACGTAAAATTACGCCTGTGTAGGCGTAAATTACGCCCGTGAAGAAGTGAATTCTACGGAGGTTCGAACAACATTTACGGGCGTAAACTCACGGCGTTAAAATGATTAATTACGGGCGTTAAGACGGTTATTTTACACGCGTTGAGAAACATCTTCACACCCGTCGAGTTTATTTTTATCACCGTAAATTATAAACCAATCAGCACCTTGCTTATATAATGATTCAATGCATCCTTGCTAAAATAGCAACTCCAAGATCTTTGCACAAGTAAATAACAATCAAAAGCTCGCTTACATTTCAGTGTGTTGCATTGAGGCCCTTGAATATTCGTTCAAGATTGTTAGACTTAACCAAAAAAGTATTCAATTTCTTGAGCAAATTAAAAGGCAAATTGAAGATACTTTGTCGGCAGTTATCAACACCCATTGGAGAAACGACAAAATTGCAGTATATTTTTAGAAGGTATACATGTTTGGTTTCTAAATACGAATCTAGGCGTCGGCTTCAGAGGCAGAGACTTAGCTCACACGCATTGCAGCTTACAAAGCACTATGCATTCAGATCGCTAGTGTATTCCTCTAAATGATGTGTTCAGATACTAGAATTATAGTATCTGATCAACTGCATATTGACTCTAGACTATAGCTATATCCTATAGATCTGGCATTTTTTGAAAATGTACTGAAAATGTCAGATGAGCCTATATACCTAGCCAATGTTCAAATTTGGTAATAGGGAGATGTGTACTTTTTGGAATCTTTATGCAGTCCTCTTTTGAGTCACATGTTACGATGTACATCTTTCACATTTGCACAAATAGTGCACCAAGATACCCAGAAAAGAAATAATGTTTCATATGCCATCAATTGCAATAGTTGTACCTGACGCGATCATGAGTATGTTATTAACTTGCACAAGGGTCTGTTTGGAGTTGCACTTTTAGCTAGAATGCATTGTATCATTATGATTATGTAAGCAAGATACTGATTGGTTCATAACTTGCGGCGCTAAAATAATCTCGACAGGTGTATAGATGTTTCTCAACGCGTGTTAAATAATGTCTTAACGCCTGCTATTGAACATTTTAACGCCGTTAGTTTACGCCTGTATTTGTTTTAACGCGTGTAGAATTCAGTTCTAAACAGGCGTAATTACGACTGCACGGGCGTAATTTTACGTATGCACGGGCGTAACTAACGCTTACACACCCGTAAACAACGCGTGCATACATAGGGTAGGTTGGCAAACCATAATTATGTCCACGTTAAATATCCCAAAGGACAAGACTATGTTAATAGACAAGCAAGTTATGCAACGTAAGGTGGGTGTCATTGTTTGTGTCACCCTGTCTTTTACTGCATGAATTAACAATGACCTGCTTTCTTATTTAAAGGAATATTCCTGGCCAGACCATTTCTCTCCTAATATGGTAGCTATAACCATATATATACTTTCCATATTTAGCAAAACAGGGAAAACTGTTTTGATATGGTCAATATTGATCACTTGAAAATGTAGTGCCGAATTCCAATAGGCTGCCATCTTTTAATATTTCACTCAGGAAGTGATGTCATCAACTCTCAACTTTGCATATAATACTATAAGTAGCTATTAAGAGTTACAAAACCAGCTGAATATTCTTTTTCAATTTTGTCTATGATTTAATCCTTCTAAAAGTCTCTTCTTTTATTCTAAGCTGACAAGCTCTGAAAACATTTTGCGCATAAAGTAAGGATCACTCGTCTAGAAGTGATATTGTCCTATTTTCCTATACTGTTATATGCAAGGTCATGAAAGTTGAGAGTCGATGACATCACTTCCTGAGTAAAATCTTAAAAGATGGCAGCTTACTGGAAATGAGCACTACATTTTTAAATTATCAATATTGACTATATTAAAACATTTCCCCATGTTTTGCTAAATATGGAAAGTATATATATGATTATAGCTATCACATCAGGATAGAAAAGCCTCATTTGATATTGCCATCCGTTCTGAAAAATACAGAATGTGAACTTAAATTGTAGCCTGTCATCTCAACTTTTGATCCACTGATCATCAGTGAAATGACAGTTCTTTGCTGTTGAATAATAGAGTTCCTCGTCTTGTCTCGAACTAAGCTAAAAGGTAGGCTTCAGCGAATGGACGAATTAGTGAGAAAAGATGTAAATCAATTATTGATATCTCGCCAACCCCGAGATATATTGGGGTGCTGTCCAAAACCTGTCACGCAATATGTACCAATACTCTTACCAAATATCGCAGGGGTCACTAGGGAACATGGTTGGGTACAATTGTTATTGAAATATATTATCATTGGCTTCACAATGGCATAAAACATAGCCCAGATGGTGTTGATACAGTCCATTCGCCCTGCTTGGAATCGATAACAGATCCTTTGAACTATTAACTTTTGATACATGCACTACAGATATATTAGAGAGATTTCGCACCTAGTGAAACTTATAACGTATACTTATACTTATAGGTAAACGTACAAGGTGTTTCATAATGTGAGCTTTTCGTCAGGAAAGATCTTCTCGGACTGTAATAAATACAGGT